AAGGTGGGCCTAACTCAGCGAGGGGTTCAACCAATACCTTCAACCACGCCTCCCCCAGCCGGGGGTGGGGGTGGGGGCAGGACAGAGTAAAGGCAGGAGACTCACCCCCATGTGCTCTCTTGGCAGCCCCTCTTGGCCTCCCGCCTTTCCCTTTTGCTCTGCCCTCACTCGGGTATGATGGAGGGCGGGCTTCTAGCTTGTGGGGTACAGCCTGCTCCGGGCCTACCGGGGGACCACATACGCTGGCCGCTTGGCCTCCGGGGACTCCCCAGTTCTGCACGTGTGGGTGTTCTTTTCCTTGTGGATGCTTTTTCCCCACGTGGTTGTTGGTGCCCAGTTGTGAACCCAGCAGGGGTTTCACGTGGCTTGGCACGCTTCCCAGAAACAGTGTGCACCCTTTGGAGACTAACACCTGAAACTTTTCCATTCCATCCCATTCCTTCATACAAACATGTTTAGGTGTGAGTTCTTTCATTGTGAGAAACAAAGAACTGAGGGTACCACCCACTCCAGAGACCGAACAACCCCACTACTTCATGGGAGCTCAGTCCAACTGCCCTCACAAGACAGGAAGCAGCTAGAGTCCGATGGAGTAGGGAGAAAAGTTCACTGAACTTGTGCTTTACCTTGTTATGGCATTTCCCTCTTGAGAGAAGCCCAGGTACCCACCCAGTCTAACACTCCTGCCCTGCCCCTGTCCTTGGTCAGCTGCAGTTTCTCCTCTTCTTGTGGTTTTAGAAAGCAGATGAGCTATGTGAGGGCGGTGGTGGTGGCAGCGATCTAGGAAACTCTAGAGAGATGACCTTTAGCACTTTTACTAATTCATTCAGTGAGGCACAGTGACTTTGAGTGGAAGGCAAAATGTCACTTTGAGGACTAAGGTGCACCTGACCCAAGCATGGTACTGTCAGCCACCTCATCCGCATGTGGAAACTAGACCGTGAGTAAGAATGGAGCATCGATGCATTTGAATGAGGGGCTGGCACGGGTGACTGCACCTGCTCCGACTGCAAAGAGCAAACAGGCTGACCTTGAGAGTAGTCAGAATGCTCCCCAGACTCAAGGATAGCGAAACTTCATCCCCCATCGCAGGAAAGGCCAGCCCCAGGCGGGCGGACATCAAGTTTGGTAGAGGACTGGGGAAAGAGAGGGCCCTCGACAAGGTGATGGACATGGTGGCCGCAACCCTGGGCTCAGACCTGACCACTGTGAGGTTGGCGCAGGACTGGGCAGTGTTTGGTTCTGTTTTAGGGGAGGGCTGCTCTGAGTGGTCACTGCCTCAACAGCACCTACCAAGTGCCAGCCAGCCAGTGTGCCAGGCGCTGGGGGCAATGGCGAATAAACAAGCAGCATCTTTGCCCCCAGAGCAGTGGTTCTCAACCTTCATGCTGTGCGGACCCCCAACCATTAAATTATTTCGTTGCTACTTCATTACTGTCATTTTGCTACTGTTAGGAATCAGGCGATCCCTGAGACAGGGTCATTCGACCCCCCCAAAGGAGTCAAGGCCCCCAGGTTGAGAACCGTAGAGGATGAGACGGTCTGATGAACTTGAGTATGAGTCCCCGCGGAGGTGTGAGGGCGGCAGTGCCAGGCAGGGAGCCATGCGAGGTCAGCTGGTCAGAGGGTGGGGTGGGGTGCTCTGTCTGCCTGGACACCCGAGGGGTCCTTCTCTTAGATTTCATCTTTGTCTGTCCCCATCCTGGACACAGACCAGGAGTTAACTGTGAAACGTGAGATGGAGCACACACCTACGCAAATCCTCACCAAACCTTCCTCAGGTACGACCTGGCCAGACTTCATCAAAAAGATTCACGTACCGTTTTGTAGCCGGTTTTTCCCCAACATTTTTTAAAGGGCTTCTCCTGTTCCAAATTGCCACTGGTGGGTTGACGTAGGAGCAACAATGCATTTTTAGTGCAAAGTCCTTAGTTAGCCCACAGGTCCTCCAGGCCTGGGGCCACACAGTTCCCCTCCCTCACTGTTCCAGCCACACTGGCTTCCTTGTTCTTTTCCTGGGACGCACCAGGCGAAGCCAAGACTGGATCCTTCTGCCTGGAGGGGCTACCCTGTGCTCAGAACTCCTTGCAGGCCCTGCCCAAGTGTCACCTCTGTGGGAGACGGCATCTCTGGCTGGCCGGCCTCCCTCTCCACTCTCACCTGGTTTTATTCTCCTTGGCTCCTAGCATCACGTTGACAACCTGGGTGGGTTTCGGGTGCCTCCTCTGCTGGGGTGTGGGGGTGCAGGGCGGGGCTTGCCAATTCCCGGAAGCAACCAGAAGGGGCTTGGGATTTTCATTACTTCAGTCTTAGTTGGATTTAAATGGAATGACCACCCACTTTCTCCTAGAGATCTTCTCTAAATTAGCTCCTCCATGGGTGCCGACACACACGTTCCTTCCACAGTTCCAAGTCAGAGGGTGCTTGTTTGGGAAGCAGCCCGGCCAGGGCAGTGGTTAGTTGCTACAGACTTGGCTCCGACGCAGGGCAACCTTATAAATAACAGAACAAAAAGTGCTCCCTCCACCCCCCCAATCTAAATCTATGGCCGCCCATCTGGCTAAACGTATGGCTATTAAGTCAACCTTCTCACTGGGGGTGTCCCTCCTCGCTGGCTCTCGACTTTACCAACACCATGTCCTTTGCAGGGATGTGCCCAAAGCAAGATGAGAAGTCCCAGTCTTTCACCCATAGCCTTCTCACCCCAAAGAAAATGCATAGAGAAGCATTCATCGTTCTCAGCCTCCTTCTTCCAGCCAAACACAGCCGGAAGGAAGCCTTTAATGCTTGGTTACCTCCTTTGGCTCTGCCAGCTCTTCCTTCTACGTCCTGCTCAGACCATGGCGCCCACGTGGGTCTTCTCCAACCAACACGGCTGGTCTCTTGCAATAGAGCTGGAGACCAAGCAGGCAGATGCGAGCAGCTCTTTTCCTGGGGTGGAAACAAGGCAAACCTATGCTCGTCACATTGCAACAATGATCCTGATGCTTCTCCTTTAAAGCTTTTTTGTTCTGTAATAATAGTTTTAGTCACAAAAACTAGAGAAACCCAAGTTTAAAAAATGATTTTCCAGGAGGGAAAAAAAAGAGGACATGATACCAAAGACTCATGTAGAAAGAAAATGCTTTCAGAATGATGGCACATCAGGACATGCAATGGCCAGAGTAAAGGCCACAATGGTTACGGCTCTATCTTCATGTGGCTGGGCCCTGATTCTCGGTGGCTTGGCAGTTTTGTGAGGATGTAATAATGGAGTCAAGTCTCCATTTTTATGGAACACCAACTTTCAGATCGAAAGACGAGGCTTTCTACAGTCTCAGAAACTCACCGGGGCGGTCTACTCTGTCCTGTAAGGTCACTGTGACCCCACATCAACTCGATGGTAGTGGGTGAGAATTCACGATGCTTGGGTCTTTGGAACCCAACAATGCAGCTAAGTGAGGCGCGAGTGCCTACGGGAATATGTCCTTAAGTAGACACTCTGGGTTTACAGAGCGGAGAGATGTAGCTCTCGTACACCCTCTGGTCAAGGTGGTGGTACTGGAGGACAAGGAGTGGCACTGCTGTTAGATTCCCTCAGGTCAGATCCTCTGACCAACAGAAGAAAGCACTGCCTGACCCTGGGACAGCCACACGATCATTGCCACTCGCGCGCACTGCTGCAGCTGGTGTGTCAGCCCGTCTTGTGGAAGGATCTTCCTCGGTTTTGATGACACTCCACCAAGTTTTATGTCCTGCTCCGGGGACGGGTCCTTCCTGATATAGCACACGTCTGAAGTAGTGCGTGAGACTTAAGTCTAACCGTCCTTGCTTTTAAGGAACATTCTGGCTGTCCTTCTTCCAAGACAACTTTGTTTGCTCCTCTGCAAGTCCATGGTATATTGAGTATCCGTTGCCTGAACCATGATTGAAAGGCAGCAATTCTTCTATGGCCTGCTGTATTCAGTGCCCCGTTTCACAGATAATGAGATTTTAAAACACCATCAGTTGGGCCAGGCTAATTTCGGTCTTTCAAAGTGACACTTTGCATGGAGAGAAGATTGAAGTTGTCAGCACCTCACTGTGCTTGGGTCCAGTCGGTGTCTGTGGACCGGAAGTCAAGGGGGAGCACCACACTGGGGAGATTGGCTGCAAAAGGCCTCTTTCAAGTGGCCAAAGGCAAAGATGTCACTTGGAAAACTACAGAAAATGGTAGCACTTAAACATCCTTCCCCTCCCCCCACCGTTGCCTAATGGTCAAGAAAGCTGAAACGGAAACCCAGCTGAAAGACTTAAATGCACAAAGAATCACCCTGGAAATACTGTGTCAAGCGATTTCCAAGGCCAATGGGTGGACTGCACGAAAGACGGAGCGCCATCCCACCCAACCACGACACGGCCGAGGCCGTGATGGTGGACGAGGATGCCCACTGCTTCCCGTTCCTTATGTCCCCTAGACGTGCTTCCAAGGTGAGGAGGGGAAAGAAGGGAATCTTGAGAGAGAAGTCTACCTGATCTTCTGCTGAGGTCAGCGCTGGCTTCCAGCTGGCCTCCAAGGCCTCGAGTCCAGGATGGAGGAGAGGAAGGAGGAGGACCACCGTGCAGGGGGAGGGAGCAGAGATGCCCACATTGGGGGGCAGTGCCAACCACTAGGTCTCATTTCCCAAGGGCTCTGCTGCTGGGAGGAGACCTGGTGGTGCGGGGGTTAAGCACTGGCTGTCAACAGAAAGGGCGGCAGTTCGAGCCCCGCAGCCCCTCCGATGGGCAGATGCGGCCGTGTTGCTCTGCCCCGCGGGGGCTCTGAGTTGGAATGGGCCCAGTGGGTTTTTAGCTGCCCATTTCTGGTTCTTCTCACCGAAGCCCAGGTATACAGCGGATTTAAAGAAACCCACATTATTGTAAAAAAGAGAAACGCACAGCAAGCTTTAGGTATTCGTTTATCAGAAGATTCGGCACTGATCAGGCCTTTAACATGTCAAAAGTCCCAGTGAAAAATGGAAAACTACAAAAAGCAGGCGGAATTACCAAAAAGAAAACAATCCATTTATTTATATCGCTAAATACAATTCATTTCCCTGATTCTGGCCCACTCTTGGCGCCCTGAGACACAGGGCAGTGAACAACTGCAGTCTCCCCACCTGCAGCCTGCTGTCTTAGCATCCCTGAACCTGCAACATTGAGCCGGTTAAATCACCTTGTTTTAGAACCTCTTGCCACCGGAAGGGAACTGAGAGCGATTTAGGAAGCAGAAGTAGGTGTGCAATAACTTAGAAAGTTAACAGTGATTTTGGCTGTCCCTGATGAGACCTCCAGCCAGTGACCCATGTGCTGATCTCAGTTCTAGAAAAAGACAGGCGAGCCTTCCAGCCACTGGGTTCGGCTCATTTGCCGTACGGTTGGTCGTGGTGCATTTCTGGCGTGTAGGTCAACAGGACGATCATAACCCAGAGATGAAGCAAAGCCTAAAGGAAGGAGAGAGAACACAGTGTCAGGATTCATCTGTAAACTAGCCTTCTCTGGGGTCCTGTGGGCAGCCCTGCACCAATCGGAGGGGTGGGCCTGCAGGGAAACGAAGGAAGGACAAGCTGCTATGCGTACAGGATTTGCCTGAAGCCCAGGAGGGCCCAACTGAGCCACACTCTCACTGCATGTGTGGACACAAGAGCACTGCCGAGAGGAGATGACGAGAGTCACGTGCCAGAGACACAGGAAGCTGCTGGAAATGCCTCCAGGAACCGGGTTAGGCTTGGGCTTTGAGAGGGCTAGCCATGGGCTGGAGCAGAACACTCGTGGCGAGAAGAACGGGGTCAGGTCTCAGAGGTGGATTTCCTGTGCAGTCCCCCATCTACCTCAGACCCCCTGTGGCGCGGTGGCTAATCCAGGCTGCTAATCCAGCACTATCCGCTCCGAGGGAGGGGCGGCCCTCTGCTCCCAGAGGTGACAGCCCCGTCAGCATCGGTCGGGACAGCAGTGCAGTGCTGAGGAAAGGGACCCACAGAGACAAGGTCCCAATTCTCCCACAAGTCACGCTGCAATGAAGGGAGAGTCCCTTACCCCCACCCGAGGGTGCCCCAGTCTAGAAGGCTACGAGCCCCATTTCACAGCTATCTCCAACGGCTGGAGATCAGTTCAGCCCATGTGGGCGGGGCTGAATCCTTCCTGGTGCCCGCCAATGCTTCCTCTCCCATCCCTCGCCCTCCCACAATGGGTCTGTCCCCTAGGGTGTAACTGCCTCGAGTACGTTTTCTCTTCTCGGTAAGAAGGCTGCCAGGGTGAGACCTCCACTTAGAGTGGTCTGTGGTCTCAGTAGGCATGCAGGGCACGGGCAGTGGCATCCCAAGTCACCGGCTACTCTGAGAGCCCTCAAAAGCCAGGCAGAAAAGACACATGCCTTGGGGCTCTTTGGGAAAATAAGTGAGAATAACGAAAGCAACTTTACGACATGAGAGAAAAACAAAACCAATCGTTCTATGTCATGTCCATCATTCAAGGGGCTTAAAACCAGGGCCCACTATGAAAGCAGGGCACTAAAGTTTGGACATAATGAAACATTACTTGCAATTGGACATACTCTGGACATAATGAACCATTAACTTGCAATTCACTGAAGTTTTCTAATGACCAAGAGGGTTCTATTCTTTCATAGCCGATTGCTAGGCCGGCAGAAAGACTAGAGCCTTAAAACCCCACAACTTGGCCAACAACCGCCTGCAGCATGGTTGGCTTACGGAGGAGCCCTGGGGCGCAGTGGTAGAGTGGCACAGCTAAGCAAGGGGTCAGGAGTAGACGGAAGTCACTGGCCGTTCCGTGGGAGGAAGACGCTCTCCTGCAGAGTTCGTTTTGAAAAGCAGCAGGGCTGCTATGAGTCAGCATCGATGGGACGGCGGGAGCTGAGTGTGACTTACCATGTATATAATCACAAACACCCTCGCTATGGGGTATCTTCGGAGAAAAATTCCCAGGCGGATGCTGTGGGAGTCGGGGATGGAGGGGGAGAGGAGAAGAGTGTTACAACCAACAAATCCTCCTGTGGCCAGATCTGATCATCCTCCCCAAACCCTCACTCATCTCTGTGGAGTCCTGTGCACGCGCTTGAAATAATCACACAGCCAGTCATCGTGGTCAGCACACGCTTCTATGGAACGTCGTGGCGTGGTTGTCAGAGCCGGCTCCAGCGGTTTCTCTGAAACCTGTGCCATGCCTCATAGGTACACAACAGCGTGGCCCTTCCTCCTCAGAGCCACTTTTCTCTTCCAACTAAAGCTCCTCACACAGCCTGCGAGCCACCTGGTGGGAGGGAACTTGCAAGCCTTCGCATAGACACACGCTTTTCAAAGGCGGGAGTACAGCGATGCAAGTACACCCGCAAAATGCTCAGAGAGGAAGACGCACACCTGCTGCCACGTTACCCTCGACCGGAGGACATGCATTCAAGCGAGCACCTTTCTCCCACACCCTCCGAGTCCCGCGCACTGCCTGAGACCTGGGCTTCAGGAGACCTAGTGAGCCGCCCTGCTTGTTTCTAACACCCTAACTCTTATCACGATGTAAACGGGTTAAGAGAGGATTATTATGCAGTGTATGAAAGGTCCATTTCAGCATCAAATATGTCTATACATACAAGGGGACTTCAAAAAGTTGCTGGAAAATTCCATTCTCCTTAAATTCCACTTTTCCATGAATTTTTAGAAGTCCCCAGTAGATGGCAATATGTAGAAACGCTATGTGTTATTTACACAGTTGCTGTGAAATGCTATCACGGAGCAGCACTGCGCTGTGCAGACTGCCAGGCCTGTCTTCCGAGGTGCGTCTGGGGCTGCTGGTGGGACTTGGTGTAACTGTTGGCACCACGTTCATGAGCGTGCCATATGAAGTGCACATCAGGTGACTGCTGTGCGTGCCCGTGTAGGAGCACCTCAGACTCACCGCGTGACCAAGGATGGAACATTACAGGAGACACGCTTTCTCCATGACGGAGTGGTCTGCAACAAAGAAGGGGCCAGGCAGAGCACTGCCACGATTTCATGTCACTGAAAGCCCCTGAGGAGCTCTGGTGGCATCGTGGTCATGTGTTGGGCTGTGATCAGCAGTTGGAAACCACCAATGGCTTTCTACTCCTGTCAAGAGCGAGTCTCAGAAGCCCCCAGCAGCAGTTCTACCTGTCCTAGAGGGCCGCCGTGAGCCGACATCGACCCAGTGGTGGTGAGTCTGAGTTCGTTTTGGTGCCTTTTTCAAATACGGCTTTGCCTGATGGGAAGGACACACCCGGAAAGGCTGCGAAGGACATTGTGCAATGTAGCCGCGTGGCCGTGAATCTTTGGGCACCACTGTGGCCACCCCCCTCAGCTGGAAGTTCATTTCTGTGCTGGTTTAGACTGTGGACAGCCTGTCCCTCACGGCTGCTGGCGTCCCTTACCTGAACTGGTCAATCGAGCTGGCAGCTTTGCGGACTTTCCCGTACATCCCTGCCAGACTCGCTTCTGTGTCACTGAACAGCACGGGCACGTTTCGCAGACGCGCGCCTGTTGAAACACGACGGCGGCAGATTACTGGATGGATACCCACCAAGAGCACCCAGCGGACCACCGGTCACCTCTTATGTGGAAGGGGCGCTTCTCAGGAGAACAAGGAAGACAGGGAGGCCAGAAGCTTCTGACTCTGACTTGCCAAGACAGGGAGGCTGTGTGAGGGCCGGGACCTGACACACACCTTTGTCTGTCTGTCCAGCGATGGCTCCATCACGGGGCACCCGCAGACACAGGCTTAGGCCTCCCGGGCTAGCAGGCATGACGTCAAACACCCTCCCTACCCGGCAACGCTGCAGCTCCAGCAGGGCCTCCCCACACTCCAGCCACCCCCTGGTGTCACCTCCCTGTGGAGTAGAGCCAGCGCCGCCTCGGGTTCAGCACACCCCACACCCTGTGCCGGTCCTGCCCTGCAGAGGCCCGCTCTTCCCGCAGTAGCATCCCTTGGCTCAGGACCAGGCCCAAAGCCTCAATGCCCACCTCTCAAGCCCACAGCGCACCTGCAGGCTCACCTTCCAAACAGATCCTGAATCACCCAGTCCCTGCTTTGTTGCACCCTCACCTGGATCTGCATGGTGACCTCTCAGCCACCTGCCCCCAGCCTGTGAAGCTGCTTCTTCACACAGCAGCCACAGGGTCAGGCGGCCCTTGGAGACCCTTCAGTGGCCTCGCCCTCCCCCCGAGTCGTGGCCTTCTTCAAGCAATGAGAATTCACCTTACGCCTCTCCTCGCGACTCACCCACCCCAGTGGCATGGGGCCAGGAACACTTCCGCCTCAGGGCCTTTGCACCTGCCCCTCTCCACAGGACCCTTTCCTCCGACACTGCCACGGGTCACGACCTCACTGCCTTCAGGGTCTGAATCGAGAGCCCCCTTCAGGGAGGCCTTGCAGGGTCACACTATGGAAATTACAGCCCAACCCTACCCCCAGCGTCCTGCTGCACTCACCAGCCTCGGTCATTACCACTGCTGTCTCCTCTGCTGGCCACACCGCTCCCAGTAACAGGGCTCCTCTGTCTACCTCCACATCTCCAGTGCCCAGGGCAGTAAGTACGTGGCACCTAGTGGGTGCTCAACAATGATGTGTTGATTTGGGCCACAAGTAACAAAACCTGTACATATGTGTACCTATTTCACCAAAGGGCTCCAACACTGTTACGGCTGTGAGGTCAGCCGAGGGCCAGCTGCGGTTTGAAGTGCTGAGCACAGGGCTGCAGAATGGTGCCAACGAGCACCACTGACCTAAGAAAACCCACGCAGGAAAACGAAATGTGCACAAGCATGTTCTCACACTGTCCACACAGCACGGCCGGCGTGGCCAGACACCTGGGGGGGACACCTGTCAGAGAGGTCACTCCCGCCAACCAGTGACAGAAAGCGGCTGAGGTGGCGCCCTGTGAAGACGAGAAGAACAAGGCAAGCACCCGAGTTCTGGCTGGCTTCTCCATCTCCGTGGCAAAGCCTGGCCACACTCTGAGAAGTCATGAAACAAAGCACGGCAGTGCCACGTGGTCGCCCTCTAGAAGCAGATGCCAGTACTGTGCAAACCAGTTGGTCTACAGTATAAAAACCAGACGCTACAAGCGTAGACAGAGCAAGTACACAGGAAAGATGTTCCCCAAAGCACACGTCCTTGTTTTTGTATTTCTACGAGGGTCATAGGTTACTCAGGCTATTCAGAGAAACTCACTCACTGCCAACAAGTCAATTCCAACCCCAAGCGACTCTCTAGGACCGAGTGGAACCGCCCCTGTGGGAGCAGACAGCCTCGTCTTTCTCCCTCGGAGCGGCTGGTGGTTTTAAGCTGTTGACCTTGCAGTTAGTAGTCCACCATGTAAAAACGGACAAAGTAGGAGACTTGATCATTCTTTCAATTGTATGAAGTTCTAACATTAAAAATCTGTTCTGTTGACGCATGGGTGCCAACATTCTAACGAGACACTTTGGGACTCTCTTCCTTTGGCTATTACGATGACAGAGCAGGGCCATGCTGATTGAAATGACTTGCTATGGACAAATTATGTCCCCGTAGATGTGTAGAGAGGGCTAACCTCTGGTACCTGTGACCCTGTATGGAACAGGGCCTGTGGAGATGCCACCAGTTAGCCTGGGATTGGACCCGAGCAGGCTGGTATCTTATGAGAGCAGACATGGGGAAGAGGTGGGGGACAGGCACATGAAGGCTGAGCAGCCAAGGGAGGCCGGGAGGGTTTCTTAGGCGGGGCCCTTAGCACAGCCGGCAGCTGTGCTCACAGTCCAGCCTCTGCCCCTGGGTGCCGGGTGGTGCTACTCTGACGAGCCTCCCAGTGCAGGGTGCTGTTAGGGCCGCCCTAGGGTGCTGTGCTAGCACGCACCCCCTCTCTCCCGGGAAGGCTGCACAAGCATGCTGCGCTTCACTTTTCCTGAAAGCCCCTCTCCACCGAGTTCTTTCCCTGGTCCTTCTGGCAAGTGTCCTACAGACTGACCAGGGCGCATTCACCACTCCACGATCCCGCTCACTCATCGTACCAGAAGATGGTACCTCGCCCAGCTGGGGCCGTCCATGGGTGAAGTTTCTTTTGAAATGAAGAGGAGCTTTCTGAAGCGTTTCAAAAGCCTGCCTGAATTAGGAAGGTCGGGGACAAAGGGCAGGGAACGCCAGCTCCTACCGTCGCCGCTGTCCATGCCCGACATGTTGATGGATGAGCCGCTGCCGCTGCTCCCAGGGGCGGAGCTCATCTGCTGCTGGAGGCGCTCCAGCTGGAAGAGCAGCGAGTTCTTCTCCGTGCTCAGACTCTCCAGCAGGGTCTGCTTCTGGATGAGGGTCTCCGTCAGCTGGTGCAGCCGGCTCTCCAACTCCGACTGACTGCTGTTGCTCAGAGCTTTATTGGTGAGCTGGAAGGCAGTGGTGAGAGAAGGGCCACTTAAAGTGAGTCACACAACCCAGAACCCTCACTACCATGTCCTCACAGGTCCAATGCGACAGCCGTGGATCCCTGGGATGCTGCGAAGAGTCTTCCACGCCTACTCAAGTGTTTTTCTTGTGCGTGTTCAGTTGTACTGACCCATTATTTCCATACAGTATCATCGATGTAAAACAGCTTGTGAACTACACAAAAGCAACTGCCAGACTAAGTGGGTTCGGCAAGGCTAAGGTACAAGACCAACCTACAAAACTATGTTATTTTCTATATATTAGCAATGAACAAAGTGCACTGAAGTTTAAAAACTATTGTGGCATCAAAATAGAAATGAACAGTCTAAGTAACTTTAGAGAGACCTCATGCTCATGAGTTGGAAGTTTCAGTATTGTTAGGAGATCCATTTTACAGGTTAACAGGAGACAGACCCCTGCTAGCGATTCATGAACTAAATCTTGTGGGGCTCAATCAGCACTGAAAATCCTGTGAGGGGGCAGATGCAGGGCAGAAGTTCAAGTTCTACGGACTCTAGACCTTCTAGAGCCGTGGAGGGGGAGCGACCCTCTGAGGTCATCTTTAAACCTGGAACCAAATACAGGTCCTGACGTCTTCTGAAAGCCAAACAGCCCTTTGGCGGCGTAGCTAGCAAAGAAGTCTGCCATAGTTGGTTGACATAAGACAGCTCACAGAGGCAGTGCTCTGCATCCTACTGACGGGCCTTCGAAATTCAAGGGCAGCCATTAAGTTGCAGCCACGGGTGGTCGCTCCTCCCAGAGGAAAGGAGAGATGAAAATGGAACGACACAGGAAACACCTCAGTCTCTACAACCCGAGGCTGGAAGAACTAGGTGGTGCCCTGCTACCATCAGCAACTGCTCTGGATAGAATGGGAGGAAACCGTGGAACGAACACGAGACAAGGCTAACGAGCTGGACCGGGGCTGGTAAGCCCCGAGGACCAGGGCCCTTCATCATTCTTCAGGTCCGGAATGGAACTCTCTCCTTGGCTCAATTTTCAGCCAAACAACAGACGGGTCTACCCAGGGATCGCTAGGGAGGTACACATACCTCAAAATAACCTTGTAAGATCAAAAGGGCAGTCTTCATTCAAGGGCAAAGTTCAAAAGGGTTGGGAAAGGTGGGGGAACGGAAGCGGAAACAGGGCAGGAGCGGGGAAAGTGACAGTGCCTGGGGACTGCAAGAGAGGAGTTGGGAAGAAAAAACACAAGAATCGTTGACTGTAAAACCGATGGTCTGCTCTGTAAACCTTCACCCAACTCACAGTAACAAGTTAGAAAACAAAACGAAACAAAAAGCCGAAGAAAACAAGGCAAGAGGAGAGAGAACACCCCCGATGATGACCTGCCCCCAGAGCACTTCCTTTCGTAAGAAGGAAGGAGCTATTGGACTGAACTGAGCAGGCAACTCGGCACTGTAGACAAGATCTTTCCGGGGCAGGAATCTCAGAAAAGGCAGCCGAGAACGGATACACAATTCGGACAAGGTCGTCAATGCCACTGCCTGCTGACCTGCTCTATGACTGCTGCGCATGTTCTCAACAAAATAAATAAAACTTACGGAAGCAAAGGCGCGTAACAGAAATGAATGAAAGTGAGAGTTTGAGGATTTCTGCCTGTGGCAGGGAGAAAAGTGCCTCAGAGCGCCCCTCGTGGACACAGCTCACTGCGCAGCGGGAGCCCAGGCTGCCCTCAGCTCTGCTTAAACTTCCGAGGCTCCAGGGTTTTGGACAAAGTGCTGCACCTTTCAAGATCTCTTTCCACATCTGTAGAAGAGGTCATCGCCGGTATTGATTTAGGGGTACTCAACGAGAGTTTCGCTAGTGGGGCCTGGCAAAAGCTTCCGTTAGCCTCTCTCCTACTTGATCCTGGCCTTACATCCTCCCCTCTCTTCCCATCCAGCTTCTGCTGTCCTTACTTGTCCAGTTGGGGAAACTCTTTGCCCTTCTCTTATCTAAGCTCTCCCCACCCCACCCCCACAAACCTCTTCCTGGGGAAACCCCTCCAACCACTCCAGCCTGTGCCAACAGCAGCCTGCCCCATGCCCTGGCATGTACCACCCACTCTGAGAACACTGCTTTAGAGGTGTCACCATAAGAATTGTCAGAGGCCTTTCTGCTTCAATTAGACAAAACAAACAGGAGATATCCTCAAATAGTAGATTCTTGACAAAAATAGCGCACTATCTTAGCACACACCCAAACCCAACGCCAAGGAGTCGACTGTGAGTCACAGTGACTCTGTGTCAGATATCTGAGACTGCGTGTCTTTCTGGGAGGAGGCAGCCTCACCTTTCTCCCTCAGGACGGCTGATGGGTTTGAACCAGGGGTGCTCGTGTGGTCATCAGCCCAGTGCTTAGCTCCAGCACCACCGGGGCTCCTTCCCCCGAGACTGCAGAGCTAGTAGGGACTAAACGAACGTGCAGTAACCATGAGCTCCTTTCTCTAGGACTGAACCGATTGGCAGATCTGGTTTCTACATCTTCCTGCTAGCAAGTCACACCATCAGCTGCTGGCATTTCACACAATGGCGGCAGGAGGAGGAGACAAACAACACGCCCACCAGTCAGCCATGGCTCATTCCCAACGCTAATGAAGAATCAGATGACCTTCACACGAGTTGCGTGGCTGAATCAATCATCCGAGGACAGAGGAGGAAGGAGAAGCCACGATTGTACACACAAAGCAGGGGGAGTGGGTGCATGGGTTAATGATGCAGCCTGAGAGGCCTGGGAACTCAGTGCTTAAACAACTGTCTGCCAGCCCAAAGGCCAGTTGGCACGCACCTGGCACTCCTCGGGAGAAAGCCGGGCAGGCTGCTTGTGAGCTGCCCTGGGCACCCGTGCTTCTGCTGACACCCGTGGGGCGACTCAGTGTGATGGGTTTGACTTTTCAGTAAGTCTGGGTGAGGAGCCTGAGGTGTCACCTTTTCAGGATGCTTCCGTCTTCCTAGCTCACAGCAGGTCTTGGTGACCTTAGGAGCGTGCCCTCGGTCCTGACTCGGAAGGTCCGTTGGGTTTTTCCAGGAAAAGGAGCGTGGTGAGCGACAGTGCAGCCAGCAGAAGCTCTAGCAACATCCTGAGGTGTGCACGCTCCTCGGGAGCTGCACGGTCAGGGCCTCTGGTGGATAGCTGGCTGCGAGCAGAGCAGACGCAGACTCGGGGGCACTAGGGGCACACCCAGCAGGTCAGAGGTAAGGTGCCTGGGGCTCAGGGCACGTGGGCAGAAAGAAGGCTCACGTTCTACACTTACACAGACGCAGCTTTCCCCTAACAACGTCCCAAGCTGGGCGCGCTGATTCATACCTGGTTCCGCAGTTTCTGGATTTCCTCTTCTCGATCTTTAATTCTGCTTTGCAGTGTGTTCTTGGTCCGATACAGGTCTTCTTCCATGTAATGGGCTTCCTACAAAGCGGGGACAAACAAAAGCCGAGTCAGCATTCCCTGTTCTGGCCCCGGAACCTACCATAGGGCCGAGCGGGCACTCAGCCCATCTTTGTTAAGCAGACAATGATTGAATGGACTTGACTGGGCCTATTAAAAAGTTCACACTTCAGCATGAGGACTAAAATGGATTAAAAAATAAACCACGCGCCCTATAAGGAAATTAGGCAAAGTACGGTAAAATACAGTATGGTGGTAGGGTAGAAAATAACATGAAAACAGGTTGATCTAAAAACAATAACCAGTCAGAACCAGTTATAAGAGGTCATGGAAAAAAGAGCCCAATGTATGTTGGCAACAAAAGGGGATAAGCTTAACAATAAATACGCAAAACCTATCACACAAACGTCTAAAGAGTTTTACAGCATCCACAGAAAGACGCCCATCCAGTAAAGTCACACCGTGTCCTTGGACAGGAAGAGAGCATCATCAAGATAAATTCTTTCTCAAGTTCACTTGTAAATCTGGTGTGACACCAAGAAAAGTAAAACTTTTTTTTTTAAACGACCAAAGGCAATTGTAGAGATGGAAAACAAAAAAACAAAAAACACACAGAACAGAACAGAACACCCAGGGAACATCTCGAAAGGGGAGCCAGCCACACAAGACATTAAAGGTACTATAAAATCTCAGTAACTGAACCATGTGGCCTTGTGAGGTGAACAGGTGTCAAACTATGAGCTGTGAATTGGGCTGCCTGCTAACTGCCAACGGCAGCAGTTTGAACCCACCAGCCGCTCCCTGGAGGAAAGGTGAGGCTGTCCTACAGGGTTGCTAGGAGTTAGAAATCAGGGTTTAGGGTATATACACTGATAAACTGATCAACAGAAGAAAACAGAAGTCCGGAGAGCAATCGGGATACCTTGAGAATTTGGGGCATCATCAAGATGGCATCAGAAACAAATAAAGGAAAATACTCCCAAAAATAGTACAAAGACGGTGTGGAGGCGATCAATTGGAACCGCACTCCACCCCCACACAAATAAGTGTTAACAGATTAAAGGTTTACATATGCAAAAGTAAAACTTGTGAAAGCATCAGAGGAAAACAATCTACGTGAACGCCTTTGTAAGAATAGCAGAAGCAAAAAAAAAAAAGCAGAGGCCTTAACAGGATGGCCAATCTGACTCAGGAAGTCCTGCCATACTAAGCAAATGAAAAGACAAATGTCAAATCAGGAAAAATGAGATTTGCAATTCATGTCAGAGATAGAAAGCTAATCCCCTCATGAGGGACTGCAAAAAGTTTGTGGAAAAAACAGAATTAAAGGACAATGATTTTTTTTCTACAAACTTTTGAAGCCCCTCATATATAAGAAGATCTAGTAAACCGATAAAAGAATAACCTCATAACTTTAAAAACTGGGAGAATGTTATAAACAGCTATCAAGAAAGGAAGCGTAAATGGCTGTAAAATTGAAAAGCTTCCCAGGGGAACTTAATTCATTTAAATTGCCCCGAGGTACCGTTTTTCACATAGCAGATTGGAAAATGCAGAATTTTGT